TATGATGCAAATAGTCCCTCACATATTGCATTTACATCTTTTTAGCCCGTCACTTTTAAAATGATGAAAATCCATCCTTCAGATAAACAAAATATGTCATTTTAGTTCCTATATCCATTTTGATGACTTTTTAGTTAGAAAAAGGTCATGTGCTACCATGCGATAATGATTTTACGGGTAAAATAGGTAAAATAGACATCACACCCTATTCTCACCAAAATACACCACATCTAGTAAAACTAATAATTAAGAAAAAGTTTAACTGTTATTTTGAAAATTCTTGAGGACTTTTAAAATAGGAAAATAAAAAATTCCAAAGAAGAAAGTTAACCCCAAAATAATATTTAACAAATGGAAAAGTGAGGATAAAAGTTGCAGTGAAAACAAAGTTGATGAAATATCAAAATAAATGCAAAATATATAAAAAAGTAAAAGAAGAACATAGAGAACAAAAAAAGAGCACATATCTCAGGACATGTGTTTGGACTTCAGATTTGCTGTCATTCTGACATGGAAAATTCAGAAATTTAATTTTTAGTTGAAAATAGGATATAATATCTGTTTTGCCCTTGAAATTATCATTACGTGGTGGCACATGAAATTCCTAGCCAAAAAGCGCTTGAAATGAGTGTAAGGAACAAAATGTACATTTTGAATATGTGAAGGATGAATTTACTTCATTTTGAAAGTAATGGATGAAAAGAGTACAATTATAATATGTGATGGACCATTTATGGGATTTTCCCTTAATAAAACTTGGCTTGGAGAATTGGCCCATGTTGTGTGAAGTCCAGAGGCCAATTTCTTACCCATTTGAGTTCTCATGCACCATTGAGAAGTGATTGTTGGAGTTAGAATTTAGAGGCACTTGATGGCGTGATATGGGGCATTTTGAGATTCAATTGGTTATGACTAAATTGCGCACAGAAATTTGAAGAAATGTATAAGTAACTTTGGATGAAGTATAAAGAACTAGGAAAAAAGGATGAATTTATTTGGAAATTTTTTTTGGACATTCTTAAAATATGTTTTCTCATTACTTCTTATTTTCTTACTATTTTTTAATCTCACATACATCATATGGTTAATAGCATTCAACATCTATGATAGGATGATTAGACTTCTTTAATGGGGTGATTTGCAGTTTGCCACCTAGTAATATTTCCCAAGCACTTCTTTACCGCTACTCGGCAGTGAAAATAAGGTTTGACCGTTATATAATGCCTTAATTTCAAATGTTGCCCTCATTTTAATGCTAACTTGCAATTTCCGAATAAATATAACCTTATTTGCAGTTTGCCTTCTAAAGAATTTTAAGGCAGCTTATACTACTGTTATTTCAATTACGTTTTGTTTTTTCTGTCACTTATTTTTCTTTATACACACACACACACACACACACACACACATATATATATATATATATGCCATCCGCTCTATTCACTTCAAAACTATTACATAAGTATTGATAATTGCCTAATTTGAGCCTTTGAGCCTCTAACCTATGTTTTCAGAACCAGACTGGGTATCGACTCGGTCAAGGTCAGGGGTCAGGGGTCAATGAGTTCAACCGGATTCGATTGGGGTTGAACCGGATGACGTCATAAATAAAAATTATTTAAAATTAAAATATTTTATGTAAAATACCTAATAACATGTCAATATTAATAAAGGTATATTCATATGTATTTAATGTTTTAAATATATTTAACAAGAAAATACAAATAAATTAGAACAATCAAGTAGCAATTTATGTTATTTAATGAGCATTAACAAGTTTAGAATTAAAATTATGGATTTAATTGAAAAATAACACCAAACTTTAAGACAACATTTATAAAGTATGAAATATTTGAGATATATTAATAAATTTTAACAACCTAGGGGTCAAAACATAATATTAAAAACATTTTGACTTTTAAAAAAAAGTAAAAAAAATCGGGTCTTTTTTCCGGTCAAACCCGGGTTTTGACCTGGTTTGACCGAGTTTTGAATTTTTCGGTTTTTAAAGTTAACCCGGACTGGACCATTGGCCGGTTCTCGATTCGACCGGTCGGCCCGGTCCGGGTTTAAAAATAGAGCCTCTAACTTATATTTTTAGATTTATGTATTTTCATTTTAAAGTTATATATGCTTTGTCATCCACGTAACAAACTTACTACAACATACAGCAAACTTAACATCAAAACTTTTATTAACTATTATAGTGAAAAAAGAAAAACAAAATAACCTTTGACACTTGAAAGAATGTTGGAGACAACTAAAAAACTAAATGTTACAGCATAACTGTATTCATGTCTTCTGCATTTGAAAGCATATTTAATTGGGCAATAAATTATTCAGACATGTATAAAACTTGGAGTTTGTGATTAAAAAATTATTGACAATAAAATAGCAGCTTTTTTTAGTAGTTGCTAATAAAAAAAAATAAGGGAAAAACTAAAAGAGAGAGGGAAATGAAATAAAGGAAGAAAAAAGAACACTGTGAATAGGTAAAATATCAAAGATAATCTTATCCTTCAACATAAATTAGGAGGTAAATTGAGTATAAAGCTCTTTTGGGGGCAGAGTGCAACTAGAATTGTAGTTTGTAGGGAAAAACTGCAATCGCCAGCTTAAGGGCGATTATGTGTTTTTACTAGACCTTTACCTTTGGTTGTTAATCTAGGAGGCAAAGTGCTTAGAAAAAATATTAAGGGGTAGAATCCAAATCGCCTCAAATGTTAAGGGCTGTTCAATTCTATGAACCCTACATAATATCACAAATAAGTGCTAGATAAATCAAAAGAAATTTTTCCAAAATAATCTCCAGTTGAAATGCACATATTATTGTTTGAATGAATATATTTATCATTTAAGGTTTTACACTACCCAATTCTTTACATAAATATGTTTTTAATGGAATTCCGTAAACAAAGATGACCTTGGAAGTCATTGCCGTTTTGCATTCCATGAAGAAGTTGAAGGATTTGATTAACTAGTGCAACTACAGGCATTAGTGGCATTCGTCAAGACGGGTTTTAAGCGTTAGATTTTTGTTGAAATAATTAGTATGCACAGTCAGTGGCCCATCGAAGGATGATGCAATTGTAGTTTTGATATTGATTATGGAATTAGTTGTATTTTTGAACTTTTAGTCATATTTCTAATAGATGAGAAATAAACCACCATTCAATCATCAACAACAAACCAAGCAAAGAAAAAAAAAAGAAAAAGAAAAAGAAAAGCCAGTCAATGGTAGCCAGATCTGAGCTGCACATGCATCTATACTATTAAAGATACTATTGAATTGTAAAAAGCATACTTTAAAGCATTATTAATCACGCAGAAGAAGCATCCTATTGATGTCTGCACAAACACATGATACTGTTTATACATGTCCTAATTGTGGACAATTTGCAGTTGTCATGTCAGAGTCTCGGGTTATCCAGAAGGGCCTGTAGAGAATTTAACCAGACAGACCTCAGAGCATCTTAGATGAAATGATTATGCTGCAAATGCAATACAAATGCCAAAACTTATGCATTTTAACTCAGACACATATTTTCATGTGCGATAACTTCCTTCTTTTTTCAAGTTGATGAGTTTGAGAAATTACTGATTATCAGTGATACTTAAGATTGGCAGAGAGTGGAGCACTCAGAAATCTCTCTTTCAAAATAATACTACTCAATTGAAAAAAGACAGGCTCTAGAAACAAGAAAGAAACATTGCATTAGAACATGAATCTTAATTTTCATGGATGATCATGTGCTTGAGACACGACTAGAGTTCAGCTTGCTTATGCTTTAATATCGCTTTGAGTAAGCATCTATTTTGCTTTCTTTGCTAGTTGCTTTTGCACGTGGGGATTTCCTGTTCTATTTGTGAAGCTCATGATTCAGTAACGAGTCCTTTGACGTGTGAATGATTTATTCCTTATTGCAGCCGACTGTGGCTGCCATAGAAGCGACAGACATTTGCTTGGCCAACAAAGAGACGTTAATTGCTGGTGGTCCTTTTGTACTTCCTCTTGCGCACAAGCACCAAGTGAAGATTCTGCCATATTCCAGGTGTGCACCTATGTATTTTGCTGTGTCCAGTTGCTTTTAGATCATACTTTGAATTGATAATTGTTAAGTCCGAAATCTTGTTTATTCAGTTGTCGTTTCCCCTTATTTCCCTTGTAATCGTGAAAATACTTGCTAACAAAAAGACCTAAAATGTGCTTCAGTGTATACAAGGTCTTACTGAGGGTGCTCTTCGACGTATCATTTTAACAGCATCTGTGGGTGCTTTCAGGTATGATATATAAATTCCTATGGAAGATTTTGCAAATGATCGTTAAATGTATTATCTTGTAGTTACTGAACAACCTTTTTATTAAATTCTGCTAAATTTACTTCCAAAGCCTGTGGAGCTTTTGATGTTTATAATAACTAGGAGAAATTATCCTCCAACTTTCCAATCTCAGCGTGCAAATTTAAGTTCATATAAACTTGGGATCTCATATTTTTCTTCTGAGAGTTAAATGTTCTGAATCAATGCAGTTTTTTAAGTTGCACATTATTCTAGTTTTGTATTAGGTCGACCTAAATTCGAGATATTTGTGGTTTCTTTTTCTACAGATAAGTGAACAGCTGTAAAATTTCATATGAATGCTTTAAAAAATCTCTTTATTCCTACACAAAATGCACAATAAGCTCTCATGCCTGGAACAATGAAAAAACTCCACCTCCTGTTTTCTCTCTCAGTTTCTGTTTGTGTTTGAAATTTAGTTCTCTTTTCTCATTGCTGGAGTTGTTGAACTGAAATTTAGTTTCTATACATCATGAAAAAAACTGCACATCTGTTCTCTCTCTCAGTTTCCGTTAGTTTTTGAAATTTTGTTCTCTTTTCTCATTGCTGGAGTTGTTGAACTGATATTTGCAATCTGTTATGTTATCAACACCAGGGATTGGCCAGTTGAGAAATTGAAAGACGTCAAAGTAGCAGATGCGTTGAAGCATCCTAACTAGAACATGGGAAAAAAGATTACAGTGGATTCTGCCCATGGTTCAAAGTCGCGGTCGCGGTCGCGGTCGCGGTCCGGAACGTTCCACGTCGATCTCGGCATATCGGTCGCGGTCTCGGTGAGACGCAAATTTAAAGCATTTAATATTCTAAAAACTGTTAATAATATAAAAAAAGTATGCTAAACAAAAATAATAAAAATAGCAAAAGAAAATTTGTAAAATGTACTATTTTTATACATATTACACACGATAAGTACTTTTAATTATTTAAAACAATGGCATCACAAATAAAATCAAAATAACATAGACCACAATTTTAAAACTAATAATTGCAAAAGTAATATCAACCATTAACAATACAAACTAAAGATTTATTTATAGCATAAAGTTGGAATATTTTGAACATATAATTTAGCTCTCCATCTTCCTATAGTTTTTAGTTCACGATCATGATCACCAGGATGATTATGTATTATAATAAGTTGGAAGATAATACAAAATGTCCCTCTCTATTAGCACAAAAATATACACGTACAGTGGAAGCAATTCTCATATCTCTCTAATTTCTTTGTTAACCATCGTCATTTATATATATATATATATATATATAGACTAGTAACAATACATGCCAAATTCAAATGACCGAATTCAGAAAAAAAAAAAACCTTTGAGTGATAGTGCATGCCTATAAGCCTATGTGGACTATATGACCGAAATCACTGTGAAACTAATTCCTATACCACAAATAACACTAAACCCCTATTTAATTAAAACACTTAATTAACCACATCAAATGCTAATTAGTTTGGTTTAATATTGTCAACACTCTCTTATATGACAAATAGCACATGACTTGAAACTAATGTACACGATTGTGTTATGTATATATGCCGCCCAACAATGAAGATGGTATGACAATAAATAGCGTTATCATTATATTTTTTTAGCCACACAACTCTATCCATTGTCCCTATCAATAATAGCTAATATGATACCAATTTGTACTTTGCCAAATGGTTGTTTATGCCATATTCAGATAATGGCCTTCTGGTCTCCATTGTTTATGGCCTTCTGGTCTCCAGGGATCAAATATAATAGCAGAATTTAAGATATTGACAGTAGGAAGGACCTTTACGATTCGCTTGATTAAAGTGTTCAATTATGTAGTTAATTCATCAAATGATTTGTTACCAAAGTGGTAAGGTTATTATGTGGTTGTGATTCTCATCTGGACATCTTCTCCATACCGATATACCTTACACTCCCTCCCCTGGCTATTGTCTGTTGCGATGGCTGTAATTCTCTTCCTAGCTACCAATATAGATACCATAGTTTGTAATGGCAAAAAAAAAAAAAAAAAAGATAATGACCTGTTTAAGAGTTATATGTGGAACTTCTGCGATTTTATTGATTCTTTTTTCTTGTTTGCAAATCTGGACTTGTTGGCATTAAAATTTTAGAAACTTGACCAAAAAAGATGTTAAAGTTAACAAATTGCAGCAGATCTGATGAACAAAAGATATAGGAAAATGAACAAAACCAACAATAAAGACAAATGTCATATACATTCGTGAACATGTACCTTTCAGAGTGGAATCAACACAAAAAGATCAATGAAACTAATTGCACAGAGATAACTAGTTATCCAACCAATCCCAGGTTTCTTGTAGCTGCCCGGAGGATTTCCCGCAGTGCTTACTTCTGCCTACTCATATGTCTTCATATTTGGAGCTAACAAATAAGAACCAAGTCCGCCTGAAAGTTCGAAAACAAAGCAAAAGAGCTTAGGGAATCAGACAATACTAAGAAAAGAAAAGTAAAGTGAAGGTAGTATGTTTAACGTGGCAAATTCAAGGTATTACCTTCAAAGTAAAATGAAGGTAGTACCTTCAAGGTGGAAAAGAAAACGCATCTTTTCACGTGATAGTATTGTGGCAAATTTGTTTCTATTTTCCAATGAATAATTTCAACCTTTGACTTCTCCTTCTCATGTGTTAGGATCTAGCTGTAGTTTTTACTCCAAGGGTCGATGTAATTGAGCTGCAGTCCCAGTGCTTCTCCCAATTATGTCCGGTGTTTCGAATGAGCTTGTCCCAATTATGTCTGGAAATAAAATAGGGAACCACTATGATTAATCTAAAGAAGGCCACACGAAATCTTTTATAACTTGTCCATCACTCGCATTTCTTTCCCCGTATGAAGGATCATCAGTACTAGCCATGGTTCGATATAGGCGGTAGAGAGGTCCTCGAATTTCCCTTTTTTAATCCTTTTTTCCTTTTTTTCTAAAGGTTTTTTGTTAAATTCACCTTGACTCGGTGTGACTCGACCGTGACAACCCGTCGCGATGATGTCTCGGCCGATTTCTCGGCGAGACGAGTATTTCGGTCTCGATTCGTAGCGGTATCGTCTCGGCCTCGGCCGAGTCTTCGAACCATGATTCTGCCACCTTATTCAATAAGGTGATTTTCTGGGCTTTTTTCTGGCGTACTCACCTGACCATGACAACTGTTTCTTCTTGAACTTTCTCATGAACCCCAACGAACCAAAATATTTGGATAACTCTGTCATGGAGCATTTTTTCTTTGCAGGGACTTGAAGTTATTGAAGCCCATTATCTTTATGTGGCCGACTATGAAAACATTGAAATCGTTATTCATCCCCAATCTATCATCCACTCAATGGTTGAAACACAGGTATAACCCTCTTGTGTATCATCATTATATTTTCTCAAGAGTTGAGCTAAAGTGAGGTTCTTGCTTTGCAAGGTTATTTACTCTTAATGGTTGACTTAAAACATTTTCCACACGTTTGTTTCTATTGCAGGATTCATCGATATTGGCACAATTACGATGGCCTGACATGCGGTTGCCCATTCTTTACACAAAGTCCCGGCCAGACAGAATTTACAGTTCTGAGATAACTTGGCCAAGCCTTGATCTTTGCAAGTAATTTTCCTTTTGGTTTTCTGTTTATCATTTTGAATTTGTTTAACAATTTTAAGATTTTCTTATATCATAAATGCATGATAGTTCCACTTCTCTGCTTTTACATTGACCAAATTTTGTACAGTATATAACTTAGAGAACTCATGATTCAGGCTTGGGTCTCTGACATTTAAAGCCCCAGACAATGTCAAGTATCCATCAATGGAACTCGCATATGCTGCTGGGCGAGCAGGAGGGACCATGACTGGAGTTCTCAGCGCTGCAAATGAGAAAGCTGTCGAAATGTTCATCAATGAGCAGTACGTCTCCTTCAATTTTTTTTTTTTTTTTTTAACATATCAACCACAAGGTTCTATTTCTTCCTTGTGGCTGCTTCACTTGCAACTAACCGTTCTCACTAATATTTTCCATTCAACCAATCGTCACACAATAACATAGAAAGTTTGATATTTTGAGGAGTATCTATCTTCGGAAAGTACAGGCGTACAGCCTATATAGACAGGAGCATGATTGTAAATGGTCCTTGCTTTCATTTTAGCATGATTGTCACTTCACACTTTGGCCTTGGACAGGAGCATTTATCAAATTGATGTCATTTTCATGCTATGTACACCTTGTCTAATGCACGGTGTACCATTTCCTGTTTCAGAATCGGCTATCTGGACATTTTCAAGGTTGTGGAGCTAACAAGCAACAAGCATCAAGCAGAATTGGTGTCCTCCCCATCCCTCGAGGAAATTGTACATTACGATTTGTGGGCACGTGACTATGCAGCAACTTTGCAATTCTCTGCTGGCTTAAGGCCTGCTCTTGTATAAGGAACAAGGCGGCTTTGATGCAAATCAGAGGTATCCCTTCTCATTGTATTGGCAGATCTTGCCTAAATTTGATAAATGGGATAGTGAAGCATGATGCTCTTGTATCATAGAATTCGGGGATGAACTGCATGAGCATCTCTAATGTTCCGTCATTACAGATTATAAATGTCTTTTTCTGCTTTCCTTAGCCTGTGAAGCATAGAGATCTCAAAGATTAGTGTTAAAGAAAAGGGAAAATCGTTCAAAACGTTCCTCACATTTTACAAGATGACTTTTTTCATCCCTCACTTTTAAAAGTATAATTTTACATCCCTTACAAATTCATATTGATCAAATTTGGTCCTTACCTAGGTTTCCGACTAGTTTTTTGCCGGAATCCACTACGTGACTTGTATGTGATCATTTTTTAAGGGCAAAATTGTCAAATCAAATTTTTACATAATCTGATTCATAGTCCCTCACATTTCACAAAATGAATTTTTTCATCCCTAATATTTTACAAAATAAATTGTTTCGTTCCTCACATTTAAAAAAATAAAATTTTCCATCCCTCACATTTTTAAAAATGAATTTTTTTCATCCCTCATTAATTATGTATATGAATAGTTTTTTTCTATAAACTTACGTATATATCTATTTGATTTTATCTGAACAGTATGAATAACATGTAATTTATCTCTATTGGATTTCATCTAAACATACTAATTGTAGTTATCACATGTTATTCAATAGATATATATAGGGGTTTAAAACTAATAATTTTGTTTAAAACCCATGTATATATTTATATGATTTCACCATTTGAACCTATTCAATATTTGTGACCTTTCTCTTTTGGTAATAATTTATTTATTAAGTTGTATAATAAGGTCATCCAATTAATGGGTCCTAACTAGAATTCTATAATTGTGCTAACAAATTTTAGTTTAAATCTGAAATTTCTATTCGACACTTTTAAGACCAACAGTTAAATTACTTGCCTTGTGATTGTTTTAAAATTTGAAAGTACCAATCACTTATTTCTTTTTGTCATACTTTTCTTTTGTTTACTTTTTCTATCCAAATTTAATTCGATATAAACACTCGATAATATTTAGGATTAAATGTCTTCTTTATTTTCAAATTTCGAGTAAAAGAAAATGAATATAAGTGAAAAACTAACAATTTTTAAATCTATGTATATATGTATTTGATTTCACTTGAGCAGTGCGAATAGTATGTAATATATTTTTATGTGATTTCACATGCTATTCATACTGTTCAAGTGAAATCAAATAGATATATACATGGATTTAAAAAAAATGATTCACACACATGATCAATAAAAGATGAAAAAAATCATTTTAAAAAATGTGAAGGATGAAAAAATTCATTTTGTGAAATGTAAGGGACGAAAAAATTTATTTTATGAATCGAATTATATAAAATTTAATTTGATAATTTTGCCCTTAAAATATGATCACGTGCAAGGCACGTGATGAATTTCGACAAAAAACTAGTCGAAAACCTAAGTAAGGACCAAATTTGACCAATGCGAATTTGTAATGTGAATTTATAAGGGACGTAAAATTATATTTTTAAAAGTGAGGGACGGAAAAAGTTATTTTACCAAATGTGATGGACGTCTTGAACGATTTTCCCTAAAGAAAACATTTGTGTGGGGAAATAGGTAAACTTGAGAATCTCTTCAACTTAAAAAAAACAAAAATGCAAGCACATATTTACACACACAAACACAAACGCACACCTTACAGAGCATTTGTTCAAGAAAAATGTAGTAAATTTGAAGTTCCAGTCGAAATGAAAAGCACCTTCGTTTCTCTAATTTGAAGCTTTTTTCCTTTTTGTCTTTGTTCTACAAGTTATTGCCTTCTTATTATCAGCTCATTGAAATTGAATAAGTGCAAATTGTAGATTTGCAGGAAAACGTTAAAGGAAACAAAATATGCACAAATAACAATTTCCTTCTTTGAAAATTGAAACACTTAAAACGTAAATTAAAATAATTCCTTTTTTTAAGCGTTGGTTTAATCTAGACTACTGAGAGATGGGGGCAAAAATAAACAATCACAAAAAGGGACTTATGAAAAGAAAAACTCCTGTTCTCTGAGACTTGCAAATTTTGCACTTATTCAAGAAGGCTGAAAATGGCCACAAAGCTTAGGAATTTATATCAAGAAAACAAGGAAAAAGCTCATCCACAAGTTATTGATAGTTAGGACACCGAAATGGACCGGATAATTACTAGATTTAAGAAGGGTAAAACTCCATACCATTGCATAGACTTTTCAGCAAACACAATTTCCGAGAATTAGGAGACTTAATAGTTAATATTGACAATATATCACAAGATGAAATTAGAAAGGCAATCCTTGCAACTGATGAGACTTCAAGGTGGACAACAACATCAATCAAGTTAGAAAAGGCAAGACTGCAGGCAACTACCAGGACTTAAAAATGCAGAAGATTCATCCATATAACTATCAAGATTTGCTAGCAGACTAAAAAGGAAAAAAATTAGCTATTGCAATGCAGACGAATTTGAGCTCTCTACCAATTCTTCTACCTCCCAATGGATAAAATGCACAACCCAGATCAGATGTAAGAACATAGAAAATTGGAAGACTGTTTCATCTATTATATATATATAAAAAAAAAGGAAAGACTTTAATACAACTATATTTTCTAAAATGAACAGTCAATATGAAGCCTTTAACACAACCATATCTTTTTTTTTAAAAAAAAAGAAGGAAAGACTTTTTAATTTATTATATAAAAAAGCAAGGGTAGATTACACTTTACATCTTGTATTTTAGTACTTTTCCACATAATTCTTCTATAGTTTAAAAAATTATACATCATTTGGACTAAAATATCAAATTGATGAAATCATCGTGTTATAACGAACCAGTTGAAACTTCGAGATTTTTCTTATTTAGAAACTAACATGGTTGAAGTAGTCAAGATATGTAAATGCAGTATACATTATACTTTAATCCCCTATAATCTAGTCCTATTTTACATCATCCTTTTGTTGTCTTCAAAATCTATTCGTAACCCTCCTATTGCTAGTGAATAATTTCTATCTTGACATTGGAGTACTTTTGACAATTAATTGCAGATTTCAAACTTTTACACTCGTTAACACCTACAAAACAATAAGACTGAGGTGGCCTTGGTCAAGTGATAAGGTTGAGGCTTTAGGATCTAGAAATTTTGGGTTCAAATCTCCATTCTCCTTTCACATTTCTTAAATCCTACCCTTCCCCAATTCCCATTCCCCTTTTCCATTTCTTAAATCTCACATTTTCCCACTTGCTGGAAAATTCTTTTTAATAAAACTATAACCTCAAAAAACCGTCAGAGCTCTATAGATCAATGTTTTAAAACTCGGACTGTAAATCGAACCGGTGAAGTGAAAGGGTCGAGGTTCAACCGATCGGATCGGTTTGACCCCGGTTCAATGAATTTTTTTAAAAATAATTTATATAAATATATATGCACAAAATAAGACATGCAATAGATTAATTTAAAGCTTTATATGATGAAAAGTTTACTATTTTTTGAATAACTTAGATTTTCAAAAATAAATTTTTTAAATTATAAGTTGAAGCAAATAAATTTCATCTCAATTTCAATTATATCTACGAAAAAAATCTTAAATCCAACCCAAAAATATCACAATATTTTGAAATTATACAAAATTCACGTCTATGAGAACTTAGACATTGCAAACTTAAATTTTAATTTACGTTTTTGAGATTTAAAGATTGCAATTTAAAAAAGAAAGTTTGGAGTTTGAAGGAAGCCAAGAGAATTGAAAATAGAAATGCAAACTTGATAAGAAACAAAAAATGAGATAAAAGTGAGTGGTTGTAGCATTAAATAATTTGGGTTAAAGAAAAATAATTCTTTTTTTTTTTAACTTTTTTCAATTTAATGGACAAAAGCAAAATTAAAAGATGGAAGAAAACATCAATAAATTAAAACGAAAGAGGTTCGATTAAAAAGAGAGTGACAAAAGAAACGATGAGAGAGAGAGAGAGAAAGAGAGAGAGTTGAATATTAAAAAGAAAGAATCATGAGAGGATAAGATTTTATAAAAAAAAATAAAAAAAAAGAAATATGAGAGTTTGTTTTATATAAATAAGTTATCAAAAAAAACTAATAAGATATGATGGTGCAATGGTTATTACATTGGTTTTCTATTAGAAAGGTCTTGAGTTCGAATTTTGCAAAATCTTTTAAAAAAAAAAAGAAGGGAAACTTGAAAACCAAAAACCACTGGTTCAACGGTTTTTCATGAGTTGACTAGTTTTGACCGATTTTCTAGCAAAATCAACACTAACATAAAATTGGACCGGTGCCATGGCCGGTTCGCGATTCAACCAGTCGAACCGGCCGATCCGGTCCAGTTATGAAAACACTGATAGAGATAGGAATGCCCTGTTCTGCATAAAGGTTTAAACGTTAAAGCTTCGTCCAATGATTTGAAACCTTTCCGTCCAGCCACCATGCTCAACTAATAAAAGCATATGCATTGTCTGTCACTTAACTAATACAGGAGTAGGTTATTTGCTGTAAGGAAATACAATTTAATCAGCTGAGTAATCATTTTAGCTAAAGGAAAATTCTAGATATCAAATTAGGGAGCTTTAATTTAAACATTTTAGTTGCAATTGCCCTATTTGCTCTTATCTTAGAAAGGAGAAGCACAATGATTTCTATCCTTCTATTTAGTTATATTTTCGAGTCATCAAACCTTTACTAAAACCATGCTTGTCGATAATCAATCATACACAAGAAACCTAACTTTCAAGGGGGCTGGGATTTAAAGAAACAAAAGCCAGGAGCTCTGGATTTTTCTCAAATGTAGCCATGTCATCTTCTTTTAGGTTTACCCATGCTTCAATCCCATCACCGCTTTTTGTATCCATTAGCCATGCTATACGTTCGCTCTGGATCCATATATGTTTCTGTTTTCACGGCCGACGAAAGACCAAATGGACTTTCCCCATCCAAAATCAACTTCACGAAAACCAGTCTTACAAAGATTACTGATGATAAAAACTTCAGCCGAGCTGTTGGGCTTAGAAAGCAGTTGTTCAAAATTTTGTAATGTCTCCATCAACTTAAGATACATATCCTGACCTTTCATACCTTCAACAAAATCACTGGCTATAGAAGTAATGGCATTCCTTGTGTAGTTAACCAGTAATTGCAGCTCTGGACTGGAATCTGTCTCTTTTGAGCATATGCCGGCCAAACTATATTCCCAAATGAATGACTTGGTAAAGGGGGAGAACATCTTGTCCTTAGATTAACTGGGATTAGCAGACTCAACTTCTTCTGTGAGGCCACTATGGCAGATTTCCACAGAAGTCCCATAACAACTGTGCGACTGAACTTGGTTTTAGAGATGATGTTGTCGCTTTAGTTTTGAGGACATCCAGTGCCAAGTGGTCGAAAAAAATCTCTTCGTTACAAAATTCTGCTCGTCTAATTGGCGTTTGGATTGCAATGTGGAGACAGGCGTAAATAACTTGGAATATTTAGAAGTATAGCAGGGAAACTGGCGAAACAGAGAAGGTGAAACAAAATTGGGAATTATTTGTTCCGAGGATTCACGTGAGGTAGCAGCCCAAGCACTCATAAATGTTGACATTGAGAGACCATCAACAATCTTGTGAGAAGCGCTAAGACCAATGGCAATGCCACCGCAGGAAAAAATGGTTATTTGAACCATGGCTACATAAGTTTGCGACATTATTTCCACGGAACTTGGATCCAATGCAAACAGCCGATTTATCAACTCATTCTCAGGCACTTTGAGGAAATCTAAGAGTCGAATACTTACTCGAGCTTCAGTATAGTAAACTCCATCATCATTAGAGTCCAAGTGTGTTGTAAATAAAAGGGATATTTCAAAAGATCTTGTCCCACATTGAAAAACTAAAGGGACTTATTGTGAGAACCCATAAATTTTCTCATTTTCTAGGTTTTATTTTATTTTATTGCATGTCTTTTCTATATTTTCTTTATTAGGAAAATTTTTAAAATAATTTTTATGAGTAAATATGATTTTTAAGTTATTTTTCTAGTATAAGTTAGTTTATAAGGTTTTAGGGGTGTATACCGGACGTGGGACCTACTAGTGCGATAAATTCGATAAAATTCGACCAATTAGGTTAAGTTGTGTATATTGGGTTTAATTTATCAGGTGTTAATAGATAATTAGAGGTTACCTAGATGGATTATCATTGGAGAGACAAAATGATAGAGTTGCATTAAAAGGGTGACAAGTGTCACTTCCCTATTTCTTCTTGGACTTTGACTAAGTTGCCAACTTTACTAAATAACTAGTTTTGTATCCATTCGTTGAACGGGAATCGTCGAAAAAAAATAAATATTTAGTTAATTTTATAAAAATGTCGATATAAAATACAAATTTAATGTATAATCTATTATAACTTGTCTTAAGTATATTACTATGTGCGCATTGTAATATAAAGTATTTTTATAATATAAATTTGAACATCTAATTCAGTGAATAATGATTCAAAAATGAAAAAAATAACATTCAATAATACCATAACATTCAAAATTTTGAAAATAAATAAAAAAATGCAGTAAATAGTATTAAATAATATTCTATTCTTCAGGAACTTGTTTTGATTTTTCTTCTGTTTGAACATTCTCCTCGATTTGTCCGTGCAAATCAGCATTTATTGATTTTTCATTATCACTGTATGATAGGAAAACAGGATAATTAAGTATAAAAAAATAAATGATTTATCGCATTCAAAGTTATGTATAACAATACGTAAAGATTATAATTTAAGAAAGTAAAATAGTATATTAAATCTACCTTCTCATGCAAATCTTTTTATGAGGATTCCCTTCTTTTGTGATTTTTGTTGAACCCTCTGACGAATGATTCATATGAAGTGTATTGAAATGCTGTTGATTAAAATCATCTGGTGTACTAATTGGGATCTGGGAAGAAGATACTTCAGGTTGGTATTGGTTATCGGTTCCACCAATCTGATAATGATTTATCAAAATTAAAGGCAAAATATTATGTGAAATATAAGATAAATTTATTGTACATTACCTATGAAAGCATGAAATTCGTTTCCCTCTCGAAATCACAGTGGAACCATCTAGTCACTGTAAATCTATTACTACATTGTTCCAGATTGTAATTGTTCAACTTGATTTGGAACACAAAAGGTTTCCATGTGATCTTATTTATAATTGATGACATGATTTCATTGCTAAATCCTTCCTGAAAATGAAATGCATAATAGATTTTTTTTTATAATATTCAACAGCTAAGATAAGTGTCGGATTGTCTACTATTATTAAAAACTTCTCAAAAATTAGATATAAGTTTACCTTGTTAAATTCTTCAAGAACAAAAGAAAGTTTGTGTTCTATTATTCTTTCAGCCTCTTGATCAAATATAACAAACCAAGCACTACCGGTTGCATCACTTGCCAAGACTTTTAACATATACCTGTATAAAAACACATATTCTAAAAGTTATATTTATGTAGATATTGTAGCAATTAAAATGATAAAAAAGTTAACACCTACGACATACCTCAATTTAGGATACTCCACATTTTGATTGCAAGCATTGCACACAAAATTAGATCCTTCTAATGTCACTTTTTTCTGACATTTTGGACATGCTTTGTAGTGCAGTTGACTATTGAAATCAACTTTCAGAATTGTCACTTTGGAAGTGTAAACCAATTCCTAGAGAAATGACCAATTTAAGCAGTCAATTTAAATAATTAATATTTTTAATTGTGAAAACTAATGTGCTATAATTGTAACTTGTAACTTTAATTGTACCTCTGTTTGAACACCGGCCATTATCTGATATATCTCTGATAAAAATTTTCGATTCTTGAACATTAGTTGCTGTATAGCTTCTCGCATTTTTGGAGGATGTAAAACCTCAATAGTTTGAGGAGCAGTGCTATCAATGCTAATAACAATTTTATCTTAATTACTTATATACAATATATATGAAAATATTAAACAAACATTTAATAAAGATATGTAGATTTACCAATTCAAATAATCTGCAACTTCAGAAATATTTAGATTCATATATACTCATGTGGCAGTTGTTGATGATAGATAGTATGAACCTGAGTAACAATTTATCGTGAGGTCCATTAAGAATGCTAATGAAAAGAAATAACAATATGTTTACTATGAGAGTTTCACTGATGTTTATGTCATTACCTCTGAATTGTTTAACTGTCACTGAAGAGATCACCAACACTAATGGCTGATCAGACACCAAAATAGTCTCATCATTGAACTGATTCGATGTTGTTCCCCATAATGTGACATTAATGCTTTCACCACTTCAATAGAAAGCACTCAAAATTAATACTTGAATAGAAATTACTCAAAAATAATTGTTCAAATAAGAATATGAGCTGATCTTCATATTATAACTAATTTATTTAGCAGACTAAATTAAAAAAAAAGCCACCAGTACCTTTTATTAGTAATTGCAATATCTCATTTTTTTACAGTTCCATTACTCTTCGAAACTTCATAAATCGGTCCCACTTTAGAAAGTCTTCCCACCACATCTATATTACACACAAATAAATAAGTATAACACATATAGTTATCTAGGAATCACTACTTTCAAATGAATAAAACTAAAAGTAGTATTTACCCTATTAACTTATTACATCATACCTGATAAGAATATAAAAGCTTGACATCGTGAAGAGAGGTCATTGAAATCGATGAATTCAAATTTGTGAAATTTTATTGAACTCATTCGACCATCAAGCTTTTTCACCAGAGTTGTATAAGTGAAATAAATATTATGCTCATTGTGCACAACATTCCAAGATTGTTTTCTTGGCGTCACTCTAAATTTCTCCAAAATATAGACATCTCCCTCAAGTAGTTGTGGTCGAAACCTTTGTACCAAATTTTTTGGTACAATAGCTACCATATGATTATCCTAAAACAATTCAAACATCATAGACTAGGAAAAAATTGTCATGAAATAAACAAATTTAACTCAAATCAGTCATAGATGGGTGAATGATGGTACTTACATTTTCATCGAGCAGTACCATTTCAAGAGCAAACACATCACCAGTATTTGTGTTAATGGCATCCCACATGCGTGTCACTCTAACCTTGATTTTCTTGGAATCAAATCCCACAGTCAACTGATTCAAGAGCTTGTGGCTTGAATTCATTGTAACGAACTTGTGTCTGCTACCAAAATTCACCAACTTATAAAATAATTGCATATAGTTATCTAAACTAAATACTTCAATATATGATTAATAAGCGCATAAATAAAAACAAACAAAATTGAATACGCATGAATTATAAATCAAGTTTTAGAATTTAACCTATACCAATGCGTAAATTATCATATATGTCTCGATAAACAATATTTCTTGTACGACGATTTTCTGGATTTCGATCATCCTTGATCAAAAACTTCAATCCTTGACGGGAGGTTACTCGAGAAGCAGCAACGTATAATTGGCCGTGACTAAATACAAGTTTTGTCAAGTACACTCCAACGTTATCAAAAGTTTGGCCTTGACTCTTATTTATTGTCATAGCAAAACAAACCTTAATAGGAAACTGACGTCGAATCATCACAAAAGGCCATTTTGAATCTGTAGGAGTCATGTCAATCCTGTGAATGAAAAATCTTGTCCCTATACTTGACCCTGTAATCATTTCAACTTCTATGATGTTATCTCCCAGATTTGTAATTATCAACCATGTACCATTGCATAGACCCCGACTCTGATTCATATTGCGTAGCAGAATAATTGGAATTCCAACCTTTAACTCAATTGAATGATTTGAAATTCCAGAGAATTTAAGTGTATTCAAAAACTCAACCGGATATAAAGAAGCTTGCTCAAGTCCGCAATCAGAGGTGGGACACATTCTATCAGCACTTAAGTATATCCTAGATTGGCCAGGAATGGATGATAGAATAACAGAATTTACTTCATCAACAACATCATTGGTCAGGGCAAGAATAGCTCTATTGCGAAGATATGAAGCATTATTATAATTAGCCAATAGATCAGGATACGTACTATCTATAATGCGGTGTATGCAGTCAGTATCCTGAGGAATGAGTAGATCGTCAGGAATCTCTATCCAAGTAGATTCGTCTTCATCATCAAAGGAAATAGCTGGTAATTTTCCTTCACCCAAATCTAAAATCCATTTGCTGAATTCTTCTAAACTTTCAACAGAATCTGAATGCATGTCATTAGCTTGTATACGCATATTCAAAGATAATAGATATAAATGACAATGACCCCAAAGCAAAGAAGATCGATTAATTGATGAAGCAACAATTTCAGTTCTATCCCCTTTGGGTACGACAGGAAGAATTTGCCTGAAATCACCACCAAGTAACATAGTTTTGCCGCCAAAAACTTTGTGCTCAGAGTCAGGATCATGAAAGCGTAAGATATCCCTAAATGTTTTATCAACCGCTTCAAAAATATTTCGATGTAACATTACAGCTTCATCCCAAATAATCAATGATGCCTTACAAATTAACTCAGCCAATTGTGATCCCTGTGATATTACGCAAGTAGAATCACCATCTATAATTATAGGAATTTTAAATCTCGAATGAGCTGTCCTTCCACCAGGAAGCAATAGAGAAGCTATACCAGAAGATGCTACCACCAAAACTATTTTTCCTTGTGAACGTAATCGAACAATTATAGTTCTCCACAAATAAGTCTTTCCTGTTCCTCCACTACCATAAACAAAAAAGAGACCACCAAGACCATAATCAACAGCATGAATGACTGCATTATACACTTGTAGTTGTTGCTCATTCAACCCACTTCGTAGTTGAAAGTGTTCTTGTGCAAGAATTTCCCTATTATAATTCAATTCCTCAATAATAAACCGATTTCGATTATCATTATCCAATAGCATATCAGGAAATGGGATTCTAGGAAATTCTTTCAAACTTCTACTATTTCGATTGAGAATTTTTTCAATTTCATAAAGTGCATAATTCTTTATTTGGGAATCACTGAAAGATATAAAATTATCTCCGAGTATATGACGTTGTTGATAGGATATGTCATCAGAAAGAAACTCCCAATTTTTCTCCCATAAATCTAATGGATTAGATACCTCACAAAATAATAACATGGTCACAAATAATTCACGTAATTGCTGACCTGTTTGCCAATTTGCTGTTTCTCTTATAGCATTATGCCATTCTTCATCACCACCCAATAATCCCAACGCTTGACATGCCGCTTTAAACGTTGGATGCACGACTCCGTTAACTGTCCTAATCTCCTCAAATGACCTTGGACCTTTGACAATGTTCAATAACATGCGTAAGTAGAATCTTTCTCCAGTTGAAGGATGAGCATAAAAAATTCTACCTATTGATCGACCAGACTTCCGTTTAACCCATTTTCTCAGCTTCTTTTTCCATGTCCATTGTGTAGGAAAATCTGCATAAATCAACTATTGAGCAGATGTATCTGTGGAGTTCGTTTTCATCCATTCAATGAACATTGTACTATGTTCTTCTGCTCTGTTTAATACTTCATCCAAAGGATCATTATCACTAAATAGCACTGGCTGTTCATTTGGAAGATGATAATTTAATCTTTGAACGGCAATGCTCCGATATTGGATGTCAAAATCAAAAATTCTCCAGCAAGCCTCTGATGCTGATATATATCGGCAATCTAGATATCTTTTTATCTCATCCACTTCACGAACAACTCGTGTTCCACTCTGTCCATCAGTTGCATCATTTTCCTCAATGACAAAAGTGGCTCTATCATATCCTTTATTCACATATTTGAATAAATATTTTATAGACCTGCCCTGATTGCACAATTCAACACAAACATGTCCCCAATATTTGACAACCAAATCAACATTATGAGGAACGATCCATCGATTATCAATTTTCACACCAGCTTTAATACGTTCTCGTCCATTGTCCCTTCTCCTGTATACTGGAAAACCGTTTTCATCAATTATTGTTTCGGTCTGAAAATATTTGGGATAATGTTTACTGCACTTTCCATTTTCCATACACGGTGACCTTGTATTAGCTGGTCCACATGGTCCATGTGTCATAAATTGTAAAACTGCTTCATAAGCTATTGGATTAGTATTCTTATCTGGCAATTTGGCTGAAATGATTCGATCAACATCTCTTGGTGTAGTGCACTTATCATCTGGATATAAGAATAACAGAATATGCGCATGGGGCAACCCTCTCTTTTGAAACTCAATTGTATATAATGCTATACAAAGTATAAGTATATGAAATTAAATGAGAATTTGATATAAATTAAATATTTTTGAAAAAATAAATAAAATATTTTGTTAGATCAAATACCTGCCATCACCTTGCCAAAATGCTGTCCATGTGTTAAATCATTCATCAATTGATCTAATTTTATGTGAAAAACACATGCAACGATATCAGGTCGATCCACAACTTTCTGATCAGGGATCAAACTTATACCCTTGCTGATTTCTGGCCAATTAGAATTGCATGTGAAAGTAATCAAAAGATTAGGAGAACCCATGAATCTAAGTTAAGTTGTGTATACCGGGTTTAATTTATCAGGTGTTAAGAGATAATTAGAGGTTACCTAGATGGATTATCATTAGAGAGACAAAAGGATAGGGTTGCATTAAAAGGGTGACAAGTGTCACTTCCCTATTTCTTCTTGGACTTTGACTAAGTTTCCAACTTTACTAAATAATTCCAAAATTGACCAAAATTCATCATCTTTTCTCCCTCTCTTGGCCAACTCTCTCTAAGGAGAAAAGAAAGGAAAACTCTCAACTTTCTTGCCTCTAATCTTGCTCAATCTCCCAAAGCAACCGATTAAACTTGAAATTCCTCTATAAAAACTCTTAGTTTAGTGGTAGTGAGGTTGGTTGTGAAGTGGTTTGGAAGAAATTGGTACTAAGTTGGCTCCTTTCTTGAGTTGGTAAGGTGAGTAGCTAAGGAACCTCTCTTTTGTTTTCAATAATGTGCAATTAGTGGCTTGTGTGAGTTAAAGAGATGGTTTTAGGTGCTATTTCATGACTTTTGATAGAACTTGGTGAATTTTTATATTTATCCATGATTTTTCTGTTTTTATATGTTTAATATTGTGTGGCCATGGATGATGGCTTGGGATGGTCTAGAATGAAGCTATAGTGCGTAAATTGTAGCTAATTGCGGAAAATTTCCACTTTGTGCGAAAAATTCCAGATTAGGGTTTCAATTAACCCTGTTCTGTCCGGTACTGTTTGGATAGGAAGAATGCTGAATTAGCCTTAGGTTAAAACATAAAAGTTGTAGTAAATAATGTTTTATAGTTTTCTGTAAAATTTCAACCCAATCCGAGCTCAGTAGCCTGTGAAAAGACGGAAATACCCAAACTGCCCTAGGTAGGAGTTCGGAGAACAGGGTTGGCAGTTCACCCAAACTGACTGTGACCGTTCACCCTGATGCGTACTGAGTTTGATTTTGGCCAAAACACAAAAGTTATAGTGCTGTGTCTTATCTTTCTAACGGACATGGAAACGCCCCATTTGGACTTCGGTAGCTTGAGTTATGGTTGTTTAACCAGAATGCGGTCAGCTAACTTGTTTGTGCGATTCTGGTTTGGTACATTGAAATTTTGACCTAGCTACACTACGAACTGGACTGAGTGGTCTTCAGCAAAATTGTAGCCCTTTATCTTAGCTTCGAAACGGTATAAATTTCACCTCAATCTGATAAGTTTAACTTCAGTTGTGTTCGTTCCGCTAAGCAACGTCAAATCTGTCCTTTTGTTTTCCAACTTAAACTTCATTTCCGCACATGTCCTAGCTTGATTTTGCACTTATACGTTATAATTGGTCTTACTCTAGTAGTATGTGGATTCGATTTATGACTCGTACTCGAGTCTCATTGCGTTTTATTGTATGTTTTAGGACGTGCCGGTGACGCGGAGCGCTCGTTGGGCAGAAATTTGTGATTTCACTCTGTGTTTGCTTGGTGAATGTACTACTCACGTGATTGTTGCTTCATGACTTGGTTATACTTGAAATTTATGACTTGAATGCTCATATCTATGGATGAAACTATTTGAAACGAGGGTGTACTTTATCACTCTTGCGCTCTATGGCTTATGTGACTGTTTACTGCATAAATTGAATTCTACTTGAACATACTTGAATTGGGGTCGTTTGGATGAGTATCCAACGACCATTACTGTTATCACTGAGCTCAACCCTATTGGTGGTCAATTGAATCGAGCCGGCAAGGGCTTGGTCGAGAAAATTGACAAGCCATGGGGACTATTTATATGGAATCCTTGAGAATGAGACTCTTGGTTCCGGTATACTCGAGTATTACCATTTCTGAACTGATTGGACTTCGGGCCCGGTAGGTGTATGAGAGGTGGAAGGAATTGGTTAAAGTGGAGTCTACGATATTGGTTATTCCTTAAGCGTTGACGGAGGGTCAACGGGGCGAGATCAAGTACGGCAAGCAGGGACAAGGGCTCTTGAGAGCCGACCGTATCCTTTTAAATATTTTTACTGAAACGTGATGCTAATTGACTCACTTATTGGATGTGTTTGGATTGAATAGTTTTGTGCTTATGTGAACTTCGTTACTTGGGTGATGGTACCTCATTGGGTGAAAGCTCACTCTATTAAATTTTGTTTTCCTTACAGGGAACCACTTTTGGGGACTATGATGTTTTGAAACACGAATTGAGCTAGTTTTAATCTATTTTTGTAAAGCTCCTCGATAGTTGGAAAAATCCTAAATGTATTTTGATCTAATTATCTTCCTTTTATTTTGTAAATTACAAACATACGTGTACAACACTGTTTAACCCTGTTCATGTATTCTATTTGGTTTGGAAATGTTTTCCCGAGTTATATGACATGACACCCACTATTCATTGGCAGTTTTGCTTTTAGTTTTTCTATTTTGCAATTTTGGATAGATTGAGCGTGCTATTACCTTCCGGAACATTTTAGATCATATTTAACTGTTTCGTTAGTCCTGGCGAGAGTTGGGCAGGTAGTCCGCTAACCCCTTTGGTATGCCTTAGGGGAAAGTGGGGCTGTCACACTTATCATCATTTATAACGCGTAGTTTGTTATTGAGCTTGTATTAAGTTGGTAATTAGTTTGGGTTTACGTGCATGAGAGGGAAGTTGAGTTGGGCCGTTTTAGTTCAAACTAACAGATGTCCCTCCCACCAAAAATAAATTTTACTTTATATTTTTCAAATCAAAATTTGACTCTTTCATCGGTTACAAAGTTATAACGTTTCATAACGTTCCCTTTTATTTTATCGGTTACTATCTATTAACATAAATTTAACGTTACTTTCAGTTACATAATAAATTAAACGTTACTCTTAACCACGTTTTTTTTTGTTATCTGTTATTATTTCTCACCAACGTACACTTTCTGTTGCCTATAAAAAGGAGCTGTGCTTCCATTTCAGAGACACACCAACAACTGATAGTAGAGACCTTCCTGACAGCTTTCTTCCTCTCATTTTTTTTCTTCTCTTTCTTTCCTTTTCTGCTGGATTTAGCCGAAACTTGCCAAAGTTCTGATCCTTCTTATTATAAACAAGAAGAAGGCTTGTTTAACTCTAAAAAAATATTTCAACCTCATAAAATAGTTTCTTAGGACAGTGTTTCTAACCACAACTCAAGCTACATTTGATTAGTTTAGTTAGCATTGTTTTTTGGCTGTTTTTTACTACAATCTAAGAAACTATGGCCTCCAACAATGTTAACGCCTCACAAGCTACATCTGACTTAGTTGCTGTCACGCTACCTTTGGCAAGACCTTTTCCAGACGTCTCCAAAATTGAAGTTTTTGTCAATGAAAACTTTAAAAGGTGGCAAGAACGTGTGCACTCTCTACTGGATGTTCATGGAGTGACCTACGCACTGATAGAAACACAACCAGCTGCAACTATGGATGTCAAGACGCAAGAATCTTGGCAATATGCCAATAAGGTATGTCGGCATACTATTTTACAAACACTTTCAAATAAATTATTGGGTAAAAAGCAAAAAAAAAACCCTTGTGCTAAACCTAATATACAAATAAGCCCCCTGTGATTTTAAAATATACAACACGACACCTCATGTTTTGAACTAAATTATAACCCTGACGGAAATAGGTAAAATTAACGAGCACTAATGAAAGGACCAAAATGCCCTCATTTTTATAAACAAAAGGCAATTCTTTAAAGAAAACGGACTCCTTGCAGTTCTCCCTTTTAAGAGGCATCTGCCCTAGAGAAACTAGCCGTCCCGCATATTTTTAAGAAGAAAAAGTTGTTTAGAACTATTTGAAAAACAGGAGAGTGTCTCCTAGATGCAAAGAACAAATGAAGTCAGAAAGTTTCTCAATTAAGGATGTAACTGTTAAGATTTTCTCTCGAATAAATCTTTCTCTTAATAGATCTCTTCTTGTTCCTCAATTTTCAGAGAATGCGGCGTTGTATGATTAGAATCCTATTCTGGAAAAGTCCAAGGGCAGACCAGGTCAGGCCGATTGGGGAACTTCCACTTGATAATAATGAGAAGAGCATGTTGGGTTACCTTATTTTCCACCTAAACTTTCATCAGTTCAGTTATCAGAAAAATAAGGAGTTCCCTGCTCTCTGACCCCTTGTGGATCTCCTGTGCAAGTTCTTCCCAAGTGCACCCTCTTGGGAGACTTTCACCTAGGTTTGTTATAGACAGCTGGAGAATTGTGGCCATTGTAAGCCGTACCTCCTCCAAACTTTGCAGGTCCAGTGGAGTGGCTCCCCCAACGGTTATGGCTTGCTAGAACATAAAGTACGTTGGATTTCTCTACAGAAACATCATTGGGAGTTTTATTGGAGGCTAAGGGATACAATAAGAATATTTGCTAAAAATTAAGTCAAAGAATTTGTTTTTAACTTCCAGTACATCAGTGCCAATTAATTTTACCAATTTCCATCAGGATTACAATTTAGTTCAAAAATGAGGTGTCGTGTTGTATATTTTAAAATCATAGGGGGTTTATTTGTATATTAGGTTTAGCACAGGGAACTTTTTTATTTTTTACCCTAAATTATTTGATGTGTACTGTAGCTGCAAGGAAGATAAGACAATTTGGAAAGTCTTGATAACAAAATTCACCGCTGAAGACGCCACCAAACAAAAATTTATTGTGGGAAAATACAACCAATAGCAGATGATAGAAGACAAAGAAATGAAAGTACAAATCACGGAGTACCAAATGCTACTTGAGGACCTCAAAAATGAAGACATAAATTTGCCTGAAAAATTTGCTGTTGGCATGCTAATTGAAAAGTTGCCCGAGTCGTGGACTGAACAGGTATATTCACAATCCTAATAGTGAGTATTGGATTGCATTAGTCAGACTAATAAAATATTTAAGATGTACCATGAATTATGGTATCTTATATTGTGGATTGCCTACTGTATTAAAGGGGTATAGTGATACTAATTGGATCTCAAATTCAAATGAGACAAAATCCACTAGTGGTTATGTATTCACCCTCGGTGGTGGTGCA